TCCATATACTTTAAATCTATATTTCTTTAGGATATCCAATATAATGTAAGTGCTATGTGAACAGCTGCTGTGATGTATTGATTAGGGAATAGTGACAAGGAAAGTCTACACATGTTCCATACAGAATATTTTTAATCCGCAGTTGATTGAATCTATGGATACAGAACCCGAAGATACACACATCCTATTGGTTCTGTGTCTCTGGAGAACCCTGAAAAATGCATACACCACATATGGTATAAATTCAGTGTAATTATGTTGTAAACGATTTATTTAGAACAATGCCTTGTGTGTATAAATTATTGCCAATATGAAAGAGCAGTTATCATCTGAACTCGCCTGATCAGGAATCCACCCAGCAGAGGTGATTAATCAGCAATAATCAGAAGAACAGTAATCATAAATCCACACTCATGTTAAGAAAAACTCTTCACTACTCCTGTGGAAGGCCAAGTGGTAGCTGCTTCATGTTCTGTTGCATGTGAAACATTTCCCAATAAGCTGGCCTAACCCCCCGACTCCTGTGAAGGGAATTATCACAAATAATCCACAAGAAAATTGCAAGTAATTTTTAGTCCTGTACGGTTAGTAGTTAGCCTGCAGAAATTAATTCGTTGCTTTGGCTTTTGGCCCAGTAGAAAAGCAAACCCCAATGCCAACATGGTTTTCCTGCATGGTAGCAAGTTAAAGTCCCATATCTAACCAGACAATCCAAAGAGACACCATGCCCCCAAAGGACAACACGGATCCCTTGCCTTCAAACGCTCTCTGAACCTGCGCTTTTGTCTCCCTGCTGCTTCTCTCATTAAAGGACTAAATCAAAGCCTGATACATGGTTACTATCTATTTCTAGGAGAGTTATAGTGCTAACACTCCTGAGGGAGCCATGCTGAGAACTTCAGATGCCAGCTTCTTAATCTGCAGCGGGAGATTTTTGGTATCAAAAATGGTATCACCATTTTTGGTATCATTGGCTTCTTAAGGAGATTTATTTTCCTTTAACCATCCTTCTCATGAAATTCCAATACTACAGATAGACTGTAATATCTGATTATAAACTGTGCCTCTGGAGGGCCACACACTACTGTTTCAGCTAATATTTTTCCATACCCCCTTGAAGACCCCATGTATTAAGACTTTTTTTTAAGTGATAAAAACCTAATAGACACAAAGGATGTCAAATATATCATAATAACCTGAAATAATATTTGTGTCCCCATGTTTTTTGACAGAATAATATCACCCCCAAGGGGACACTTTAAGCTCTACCCTACCTCCATTTAACCTTGGGAAAGTTATTTCCTCTCATAAGGCTGTTGTGGGGTGCAGAAGAGATAGAAACCCTTCAGATCAGGATGTCTTGAGGATCTTTTTCTTAATAATTTATTTTGCCTTTGTAAATAAAAAGTATTGCTAACTATAAATTGTTTGTTTTAATTAAATACTGTGAACCTTACAAATATGGAGCTGGAGCCAGGACTTCAGGAGGCATCCCAAGAGCCCCAACTCTGTGCATGAACTTCCCTGGATGTCCTCTGTTGGGAGACCTCTGTCCCACAGTGAAACATGCTGCAGAAGACCAAAAGGACGCTTCTACCAAACCAACCTGCTGAAATAGCAGCAGTTGTGGCAGAGATGAAGGGACAGCTGCAGAGAAAAACTTCATAGAACTTAATGTCACTTAAAAATTAGGTGATTTTGTCTTCAAAATATAAAATGTTTTCTCACTCCTAATACATGAAGCCCCTGACCTCCCAAAGAACACAAAGCCCTGCCAGATTCAACTTCACACTGTGGAAACCCTATTAGGACAAAATTAAAGGTGTTTCCTTGGAGGATAAAGTTGCTGGCTTGGGAGCAGGAGGAAAAGACTGGAAAACAAACTCATAGTGTGGTGGCTGAAGAAGGAAAGAAGAATGCAGGCCAAGGTCTCTCTCCTTCCCCTCTCCCCGGGGTACTAGGGATTGAATCCAGGAGCACTTTACCACTGAGTCCCACATCCCTGGCCCTTTTATTTCTTATTTTGAGACAGGTCTTGCCAAGTTGCTGAGGCTGGCATTGAACTTGAGATCCTCCTGGCCAAGCCTCAGAGTTGCTGGGATGACCGGCCTGTGTCACTGTGCCTGACCCCCAGGATATCCTTCTTATCCTCTTATCTCCCTGTTTAGTGAAGATGCTCTTTTCCTTACTAGAGATTCAAACCTAGAAGTCTGTACATAAAAGAAGAACAGAAGATTCAAACATTCAATAAATAAATAAATACTTAAATATTTTAAAAAGCAGAACAAAAAGAGAAAGAGAACAGGGAGGGACAGTTTTAAGCAAGCTGTGAATGATTATTATTCATGCCAGGAAATCATGAGAGTGACATCAGCAAAGTCATCTGGATGGTTGCACGATACTCAAAGCACTTGGGGAAAAGTGCTTTTTCTTGAAGTTTCAAATGAAAGCAAAAAATAGGAAAAAAAGAAGTCAGTCCGCCCAGTGCCTCAAACCAGGCTCATGTGGTTTCTTCCCACTTCCTCAGTCCTTCCCACTCAAGTACCATCCCAAAGCTTTTATAATCCAGTTGAACACTCTACAGGATTCAAACCAATCTCATCACTTTAATGTAGGGAATCTTTAAGGTGGGAATCTTCTTGACTGCCTGCTAAGCTCACCAGTAATCTACATGCATTTCCAGGACAACCTGGCAATTGAAATTGAATCTCCTACAGTCAATGAGACAATGTCCCTCCAAAGTATGCACAAAAGAAAACATAGTGAGAGGAAAAACTACAACTACCATTTGGGTCAAATAAAATAAAGTTTTCCTGAAGTCCTAGGAAGAACACTAAGTCACCTCACGTCCCTAGTGCCAAAGTTGAGAAAGTCTGCTTTCTAAAGGCATAGTCCATATGGATGATCTGATTCTCCTCGCCTGTGAGACCAGGTGGCCTGCCTCGAACAGGTAGCCTTCAGGTCAGGTGATGGAATTCTGCCAATTCTGAGAATATGTGACTCATAGCATTGTTGGCAGCTGGAATATCTCACAAAGCTTAATCCTGCCCTAAACCAATGTACCAATGTCTTGACTTTTTCTAAAGTAGATCTCATTAAGCTGTCTTTTAAAACTTAACTAACTTATATCTGAAACCTTGAAATGACTTGTGAACTCTTGTAAATCACATAGGAAATAATCTCCTAGGATCACTTAATCATGAATAAGAATTAGTAACCGGTGGGGTATGAGGATGTTGACAACAGGAGAAGCTTTAAACTATGAATAAGAGTCAGGCAGGTGTACCCCTACAATCCCAGCAACTTGGGAGGTTGAAGCAGGAGGATTGCAAGTTCAAGACCAGCCTCAGCTACTTAGTAAGACTGTGTCTCAAAAAGTTTTTTTAAAAACAAAGGATGGGGATGTAACTCAGTAGTAATGTTCCTTGGGGTTCAATCCCCAGCAACCGCCCCCCCCAAAAATAAACTTCATGAATAAAATGATCACTCCTTACAGGACCAGTGCCACATTTGCTCACCCCTTAGCATCCATGGGGTATTGGTTCTGGGCCCCTACATGGACACCCAAATCCAAGAATGCTCAAGGCCTTTATATAAAATGGCAAAGTATTTTTATGTAACAAATTCACATCTTTCTGTATACTTTAAATCATTTCCAAACTACTTATAATACCTCCTGCAAAGCAAATGCTCTGTAAATAGCAGTTACATTATATTCTGTAGGGAATAATGACAAGAAAAAAAGTCTGTACGTGTTCAATACAAACTTGGTCATTGTAAACCTAACTGCAAGGTACATGTCAGCAGAACTGGCAATTCTGACCCATGGTGGTTGGGTTCATGGATATGGAGGGCTCACTATACACTTAATAATGTTTTGAAAGTCCAGAATTCCTCTCAGCTGATTGCCTTTCTTGTGCTCTCTTCTGCTATTGTTCTCCAGAACCTTATCAGAATCAGGACGGGCACAGAAACTATCTCCCAAACTGGTTTTGACCAATTTAGAACATACAATTTCCTTGATGCCCCAGGCCAAGCAATAAGAAGACAATAAAAGGTCAGACATCACTGACCTCCTTCTGGAGTGAGCCTAAACCCCTAAGGAAGTCCCCTCAGAGAAAGAGACTTGACAGGAAGAGTGCATGAAATAGTCTTGTCCTCTTCAAGTTCAGGCTAGGTAAACCACATGTAAGTGTGTGTGGGGGGGGCAGAAAGATCAGTGTGTCCCTCCATGCTGTACAGCTCCACTGCCCTCCCTGGAGGGACTTAGGCAGAGCTTCTTCTGGAAGACACCCCTGCTGGATTCTCCAGTTCCCTCCCCTAAGCCTAGACATAACAGTCCTGTTTTGGTAACCTTGAATCACTATTTACATTTTCTCATTTTGGACTGGTCAGTTCATCCACAGCAGCTGCAGGAATTACTCACTCCCATGCTACATATAAGAAACACTAAGCTAAAAAGTTGAGTGCCTTGCCCCAAGTTGTCATATGATAGGTGAATGTGAACACCAGAAGACAGTCCCCTTCCTCCTCGATGGCTGGGGAGATCACTCCAGGAATGTAAATTGTGATGGTGTCACAGGTTCCAAGGAAGTATTGAACCTTCTAAGAAACATTTTGATAATAACTTTCCTAAATGTGCCAGTTAAGACATATTCCTTTATCTTATCTTCAGAAATAACATAGCCAAAAAAGAATTGCCTTTACAGGTTATTCAATTCTTAATCTTAAGATTATCTTATGTATGGAGAGAAATTATTATACCCATCTAATAAATGAATAAACTGAGACCTGAAGAAGTGGTGTGTCAAATATCATTGCTGTGGTGTGGACTCAGAACCAGATCTACCTGAGTTCTAAAAGGAAAGTGACCACAACACTCAGAGCAACAAAGAGATCTTTATTGTGATGGTGTCTGATTAAAAAGGAAGGAAGAGAAAATAGAGAGAGAGAGAAGAAAGAGAGAGCAACAGAGGAAGGTCCAGCAGGAGAGAGTTGCTATAGCCAAAATCTAATGGGGTCTCTGGGTCTGCAAACTGCCTAGTTGGTGTATAGTGATTGGATCATACAGTAGTTGCTAAGGGTGTCATCTTCTGCCTTCAGGCAGACAGGTCAGGGGTCAGATGTGTGCTTCCTTTGCACCAGACTGGTGGGGGTTGAATGTTCAGTCTTGAGTGGGCTTGAGTGTTCATTCTTGAGGCAAACAAGTCATAAGAAACCAGACGGGTGAGGGTCCAGTGTTCAGCCCACATTGCAGCTAACATTTGTTCTGCCTGCTCTGCAACTAACATTTCTCCCTTTTTGTTTTTCTAAGTGGCTTGGGGATGGTGTAATTCAAACTGGCTACTTCCTGCTGAGAGGGGGCAGCGTGGGGCCTACCTGGGAGAGCAGGGGAATGTTCAGGGAAAAGCTTGGGAATACCAGAGCAGCTAGAAATAACATACACTGGCTATGGACAGTTATCTAGGAAAGGGCAAAGTCCATAAAGGTTCCTTGAAGCCATAGGTTGAGCAGTGGAGATCCTTGGTATCAGCCATTGGTCCTCTGGTGAGGACTCTAGGAAATATCAGAGGTGGTTTGGTTGAATCCAGTAATGTTAAGGTGATGACCTGATTGCAGCCAGTGGAAGGGCAATCACTTTGACCCATAAACTGAGAGTGGGTGATGCCATCCTGGTGCTATATTGCTTGGATATAGAAGTGCCATCTATGGGTTGAGATAGAAGCTTGAGAGAGATTAATGATTAGTAAAAGAAGGAGAGGATTGGCAAGAAATTTTGTGATTGGTGAGCATGGTGGAAGTCCAGAATGGGACATTTGGAACAGGTGTCTTTTTAAGGCGGGAGACATGGTACCAGGGATAGTGACCCAAAAGCTTGGCTACTGTTGGGGTAGTAAGTATGACTGTATGGGGTCCTGTCCAGTGAGTTTCCAACAATCGAGGATGCAATTCGTGAAGTAAGACTGAGTCACCCTGTTGAGAGGGTCCAATTCAGTTTGTGGTTGCACTGGGATTTAGGCAATGAGTGGCACAGGAGGTACCAGATTACATGTTCCCTTAGGAGTTTGTGTAGACGTGTGATAGGGCAAATAGGACACAAGGGGAGGAGTAGTGATTGGAAAGCTTTGGTTGGTTAAAAAGTGCACCCATAGAGTTGTTCCAAGGGGCCTGAGGGAGCTCTAGGGGCTGCCCAAATTCCAGTGAGGGTGAATGGCAGGAGATTGGGCCAGGAGAGCCTGGGTTCAATAGCAAGTTTAGTGAGGTGATCCTTGAGAATGCTGTTAACTCTCTCAACCTTACCCGAGGACTGGACTCGGTAGGGGATGTGGAGCCTCCAAGTGATGTTGAGGCCTTTGGAGAATAATTGAACAACCTGAGAAGTGAAGGCTTGACCATCATCTGACTGGATGGAGGTGGAAAGTCCAAACCTGGGAATGATCTGCTCAATGAGGATGGAGGGACAGTGTCAGCACTTTCCCTGGAGGTAGGGAAAGCTTCTATCCGACCTGAAAAAGTATCAATGAAAGTAAGTGGGTAGCAAAGTTTTTTGTGCCTAGTCATGTGAGTGAAGTTGATCTGCCAGTCTTCACCTGGCTGGTAGCTCCTCATCTGATGCGTGAGGAGTTTAGGTTTGATGCTTCCTTGTGGGGATACTGTACAGCAGACAGAACATGTGCAGTGGACCTGCTAGAGAGTAGTTCTCATTCCTGGGAAGTGAAAGAGGGGTTGTAAAAATTGGAAAAGGGGTCAGGGAGAATTTTAAATGGGGCAGAGTCTCTGGAGCTGGAGGAGTTGGTCATGAGTCATAGGTCTTCATCTTGGGTATCAGGGATTGCTGGTCTTGAAGGAGTAATTGATTGACCGACTGGTTGGTGAATTTGTGTATCTGATCTTGCAGGAACTTCTGTAAACAATTTAACAAACATGGTCCTATTAGGAGAAATATAAAGAGGACTAGTAGGGGTCCTGCAAGGTAAGAGCCAAGGTCATACATGAGTGAACATTCCCCATGGAGACTGTTGGCCTAGTTGCTGTCTCCTCTTTTCTAGCTTTACTTGTCCTTCATTACCCCCACAAAAGACTGTGTTTTGGTTTAACTATTTTGGGTAGGTGTTTAAGATCAAGCTGGTCAAAATGGACTTCGTTTCTATCTATTGTTAAGAGTCAGCTGAGTTCTCATAGGGGTCACTCATGGGGGACTTGAGAGCGGCTTCTTAGTTCTGCTAGTGCCATTTGCACTAGGATGGGTCCAGGACTTGCTTGACCATATTACAAATTTGTAAAATAGCAGTTGTTGTTTAGCCACAGTTGTATAATCCTTAACTCCTTCAAGATTACTTGCTCAAAAACTTTCATATATAACCAACTTACACAGACCTTCTTTATCACCAACTTAAACCCTCTTATTTACTTAATCACATAGACTCTCTTATCCAGAAACACTTTTTTCCCTTCTATTAAATCCATACCTAGAACCTCTAATTTCTCTTTTTCATCTGTTAACCCCTTTTTAGTCACATTTTGACACAATCCTTGTAAATTTCTGAATTTAGGCAAATTATTCCATTTTAATAAGAAATATTTTGTTATTTACAGTACACAGTTAATCACATCTGTTTACCATTTCATGAAAACATAAACAGGTTTAAGTATATAGAATTATACTGTTGTAGGGACGGACAAGGCAAGGCCCCACAGGTAGCACTGGAGATGGGGAAACAGTTTTATCTGGCTGCAGCCAGGCTCAGAGGTCACAGCTTCTGCTGCAATCAATCAATCAATCTCCTGAACCCCAAGTTCAGGTAGTTTTGGAAATTTATACCCAGCATGTAAGAGGAGGGACTCAGAAGTTCACAGTCTGCAGAAGTTCACATAAAAGCAGTTTTTTTCACTCTTCTGGGCAAGTTAACCCTTCAAGGACACCTGAGAAGGGGAGAGCTTTTTTTTCTCTTTCTTTCCTCCCCCTGCCAGCAGTTACCATGGAGCCCAACAGGTAACTTCTCTTATCTTAGAAATGGAGACATCTCTAGGAATCCCCAGCTCAAGGCCAGAGGGCTTGTTTACATATTTTTGTGAAAAACTAGGGAGGAGGTGTCTAGCATCTGGAGTACTGATTTTTCCAGGCAAGTGGCCAAGTAAAACCGAGCAACACAAAAAGAGGAAGCTTATCTACATTAAATTTTGTTGTAGAGACTCTTTTGCTGATAGTCCTAAAATCAGCCGTGGTGAAGATTTCTGGAGAAGGTCAGTTAAGACTTTTCTGTGGGCCTGGGGGTCGGTGGAGACAGGAAGGTGGTGCTGAGAGCAGCTCAGGTAGATTTGAGAATGAGGAAGGAGATGTAAAAAAAAATAATGGGAAAGGGGTTTGGGACTTTCCCTAGCAAGGAAAACTTGAGCAGTAGAATAGATAGAGCAGAGGGGAGGACGGGAGCAAATATCACAAAAAACCTGTATTGACTTTAAATTCTTAGTAACCTTGTTTTCAGTGATAACAAAGCAACTTTAAAGGCTATTTTCACCACATCTCAGATAGGGGTCTGAGGGCCCTCCTCAGCTCATTTGAGCTTTGGGTTAGCCAGTAAGGGGGCCTGGTGGGACCAGGTGTCGTCACAGATAGGAGAAGAGAGGAGTGAGTGGATGGAGGGATTCCTTTAGTACCTGTTACCTCACACAAGGGGGCAACAGTTTGGGGAAGGGCGGTGATGTAGGTTTTTGATCTAGTAATTGGAAGGGAGAAAGCAGGTTGTTGAGGCAGGGGTGATGGTGGAGGGGCTGGGGCAGAAGGTTAAGGGTGAGGACCTATTTGAGCCAGGAAATAGGGTGGAGGTTCATCAGCAGGGTCCAAAGTAGTAGATGAGTCCAGAGGAAGAAAAGGTTGGGGGGTCAGTGGTTGGGGGGGTTGGAATGCAAGCTAGAAGAATGTGTAGATGTTTTCAAGAGGTGCAGAGAGCAGGATTGGATCAGAGCAAGAAGAAAGCTTGGATATAGGAGATGTTTATCCATTTTTTCGAATGCTCGGAGTAGTTGTAGAGACCCCTTAGAATGGAGGGATCCAGAGATCCAAAAGGAGGTCATTTGCTTTGGTTGTCTAGGGGATAATTAGGCCAATCCTGGGTGCTATATTTAATCAATTTGGGGGGTTTGATGTCCGGTGTCAAGGAGAAGGTCTTGAGGTTGTCTAAGAGACATTGTAAGGGAGAGTCAGCAGGCATAGAGGATGTATTGCCATCTTGCAAACATTATATGGGGAGAGGAGGGAGCTGATTTATTGGCAAAAGGAGCATTCCCGCTAGAGCCAAAAATCTGGCAGTGCCTAGTGGCAGGTTCGAGCTGCAGAGAGATTGGTCATCACCAAATCCTGACAGTTGAGGCTTCCATCCTGGACAGGGCCAGGGCCATGGGAGACCTTGGCCAAGGCTTTTTGGGACCCCTCCTGGAGAGGCTGGAGACTCCCAGGGCCGGAGAAGGAGAGTGGAAGGGGAGGGTAAGCATATCTCTAGCAGCTGAGTCTTAAAGGTGAGAAGACTTTATGAGGGACACTGAGATTGTGAAGGTCTAGGTGGGATGTGATTTTCCTCTCTCTGTTGTATGTTCCTGAAGGTTACACAGTCCTTTGAAGATGATGTATGGGGTCTATGCCAGGGAAGAGGGAAGGAAGGAATTTTGAACCCAAGAGTCAAATCTGCCCAAGGAGGGAGTCCATGGGGACCATCATGGCCTTGAAGGCTGTGATGGGGTCTTTTCCTCCCCACAGGTGGGCGAAGAGGTCAAATCCTCCTGACACCACCATTGGGTTTAGGACTCCAGAAAGGGGAAACTCACCAATCGAAGGTCGGTGGTGGATGTAGTTCTGGAGGTCAAGAAAATGGGTTCAGGTCATCTGGTGACTGGCACGTCCGAAGGAAGAAGGACCCAAAAGTGGGTTTTCACCCTCTTCCTGGGTTTCAGTACTGGATGAAAGGAAAGTGACCACGACACTTAGAGAGACCAAGAGATCTTTATTGCTGTGGTGTCTGATTAACAAGGAAAGAAGAGAAAAAAGAGACAGAGGGAGAGAGAGAATAAAGAGAGAGAAAGAGAGGGGGGGCCCGGCAGGAGAGAGTTTTTATAGCCAAAATTAATGGGGTCTTTAGGTCTGCAAGCTGCCTTATTGGCGTACAGTGATTGGATCATACAGTAGTTGCTAAGGGTGTCATCTTCTGCCTTCAAGCAGATGGGTCAGGGATCAGATGTGGGTTTCCTTTGCACCAAAGAGGTGGGAGTCCAGTGTTCAGCCTTGAGTGGGGTTGAGTGTTCAGCCTTGATGCAAACAAGCCATCAGGAAACAGATGGGTGAGGGTCAAGTGTTCAGCCCACCCTTTAGCTAACATTTGTTCAGCCTGCTCAGCAACTAACAAGTCCAGAGCTCAGATGACCTGAGCACTGTACTGCTGCCTATAATTTTTGCAATTGAGACATAACACTTATACACTTCACAAGTTTTCACATGTCACCACCACCTAGATCAAGGACAGGACATGCCATTGCTCTAGAAGTCCCCTGAGGCTTCCTCGCAGGTACATCCTCACCTGTCTCCTGAACTTTTTTTTCACCCTTCAGGAGACTGCAAGGTACTTAACCAGGCATAAGCAAAATCGCCTGTAATGATCACTTGCTCAAGGAACCCACACAGGGATGCCTCCATCGGATCTCGTGGTCACAACAAGGGACACATCTGACTGATCAAGTAACAAATATTAGCTGGGTGCTGTGGCCCATGCCTGTAATCCCAGCAACTCCAGAGGCTGAGGCAGAGGACTGCAAGTTGTAGGCCAGCCTGGGCAACTTAGTGAGACTCTGTCTCAAAAAATGAAAAGAGCTGGGAATGTAGTTCATTGGTAGAGTGCCCCTGGGTTCAATCCTCACTACCAAATAAAAGGAACAAACATTTATTTCCCAGTGCTAGGTACTGTGCCAAGTGCCAGGTAAGCAGCAATGGCAAAGCCAGCTTTCAAGTCACTGAGAGTTCAAAGATGAGTTGATATTAGACAACTACACGGATGTATAAGGGGTACATCATTAGTAAGCAGCATGTGACAGAGTAGGAGATGTTTTGAAAGATACTGGGGGAAAGGTCAAGGATGCTGTTCCTGGGGAAGTGACAAATGCTGAGGCTGGAAAGGCCAGTGGTCAGCATTTTCCAGGGAGAGGAGGAAAAGTCCTTGGGCAGAAAGCGTGAAAATGCAAAGGCCCTTAACCAAGCACAGCGACATATGCCTATAGTCCAGTGTCTCTGGAGGCTGAGGTAAGAAGATCACAGTTTGAGGCCAAGCTCAGAAAGTTAGCATGGCTCTAAGCAACTTTGCAAGAACCTATCTCAAAATAAAAAAATAAAAAGGGGTGGAGATGTGGCTCAGTGGTAAAGCAACCATGGGTTCAATTCCTGGTATGAAAGAAAGAGAGAGAGAGAGAGAGAGGAGAGAGAAAGGGAGGGAGGGAGAGAGAGAGGGAGGGGGAGAGGGAGGGAGGGAGGGAAAGGAAGGGGGAGAGAAAGAAAAAAAGGAAGGAAGGAAGGAAGGAAGGAAGGAAGGAAGAAAGAAAGAAAGAAAGAAAGAAAGAAAGAAAGAAAGAAAGAAAGAAAGAAAGAGCACAAAGTGCCCAAGGAGAAGAGACTGAGAAAGGAGCTCACTCAGTATGAGGCTGAACTTCCTTAAAAGCAAGGAAAGCTTTGAAGGGCCTTACAGGGAATTGGGATTGGTGACACGTCCTAGGAATCCCCAGAAAAATCAAGGGGGAAACTAGGGAATGTGGGGGGCAACATGTGGGGCAAGGTCAGCAAAATGTCACTGAGACCTGCTTGTAACCCAGGGGTGAAATGACCTAGGAAAATTCAGGTTACATATGTGGCTCACAATCATAGGTTTTATTTACAGATACCACTCTGTGGGCAGAGACCAAAGAAAAAATTTGTTCTTAGGGTTTTTTTTTTTTCTCTTTTTCTCATACAGGCAATTTATAGGCGATTGAACCCTGGGGTGATTTAACCCTAAACCACATCCCCAGACCTTTTTTTTTTCTTTAATTTTGAGACAGGGTCTTACTAAAATGCTGAGGCTGGCCTCAAACTTGTGATCCTCCTGCCTCAGCTTCCTGAGTCCTTGGGATTACAGATGTGCATCAGCAAACCAGCCCTATTGGAGATTATTTATTGTGAATTATTTCTCAAAGCACATCTAAGAAAGTGTCCACATATTTTTATAATGATATTTACCATCATATTATTTAGCTTACAATGCTATTGCTGGTTAATATTTAACCACTGGGTCTCTCCAAACAAGTCCATATGTGCTATACACATACACACACATATACCTAAGATTATTTTAAACTTTCTAATATAAAGATGTATAGCACTCAATTTATATAAAACAATAAAATGAAGTATACAAAGTCTTCACTGTACTTTCCATGTGGTCAACTGACTCATTTACTGACTTTTTCCAAGACCTTCTCCACAGCCAATCTGTGGTTTCAATTCTACCCTGTGGTTTCAATTCTACCCTGTGGTAAACAGTATTTATAGTCTAGTTCATGAGATTCCTAAAAAAAATAGCAACCCATCTAGGAGAATCTGGAATCTGTAAAAAGCAGTTCTCAATTGTATTCTTCTGTAAAACGAATGTGATCCTGCAATCTGTACATGTGGAAAAATAAGAATTCATACCCCATTTGAATCAAATATATGATATGTCAAGATCATTGAATGTTTTGAGCAAATAATAAAAAAAATTAAAGAAAAAAAAAGCAGTTCTCAAAAGCCCTCAGACCTGGTTCCAGGTAACCCTGTTGGTGGCAGAGAGGGAAGCAGGGTTGGGGGAAGTAGCAAGAATTAGAGTGGGCTCTGGGATGCAGGGATCCTCAAAGTGGAGCTCTGAGACCAGAGTTCTCAGGTGCCCAAATGAACGGATCCTCAGAGCGAGAGCAGGGGAGAGAGGAGAGAAATAGGAGAATAGGAAGAGGAGGAGGAGAAGGAAGAGGGAAGGGAAGGAGGGAGGGAGGAAAGAATTCAGCCACTCTCCCCATAAAATAGGGATAATCACTTTGCATGGGATTGTAGAAGGGATTAAATGAGGGTTCCATATGTATCATATAACATTAAATATATTTAATATTATAAATCCTTTCCCTATCCCAAAGAAAAAGGGCTTTGCTCTAAGGGCATTTAGGGACTCACCTAAGAATTTTAAGGAGGAGTAATGATATTAGTTTTGTTTAGGAAAAATCATTGATTGGAGGGGAGGACTTATCTTTTGTGTGTGTGTGTGTGTGTGTGTCTGTCTGTCTGTACATGCTGGGGATTGAACCCAAAGCGTTACACCACTGAACTACACACCCAGGCCCCTAGAAAAATAATCTTTTCAGCCATGTGGAGGTTCAGGAAGGGAGGGGAAGAGGGCAGGCTTGAGGCCCAGGAAAGAGGTAGTCATGGTCAAGGTGAGAGATAATGAGATCAGGGTACTGAAATGGAAAATGGCATGCACATTTGAGAAGAAATTAGGAGGGAGTCTGAACAGGCTTGAGGGACTCTGAGTTAGCCTTGATGCTTGCCTTTCCTTCTCAGCCCACCTCTACTGCTACAGTGGGTACCTCTCCCTACCACATGTACCTGCTCTCTAGCCCCCAACCCAGGCTGCTCCCAGCACTCAGCACTGCTGGGTTCCCGGGTTCTTGAACTGACAGGATTGGCTCTAAGTTTCTCCACTTCCAGCACTAACCCATATCTACAGAACAGCCAGAATGTTACTTACAAATCACAAATCAAATCACATCCACTCCATCTTAAAATCCTCTAGTAGCTTCCTATCACATTGAATGAAATAAAGTGCTTTAACCTGGCTTTCCCAGTTTTCTCTTGCTGCATTACTAATTTCCCCTCCCGCGCTGCTCCAGTCTTTCAGTTTTTCAGCACTCAGCTCAGGCCCACTCTAGAGAGTCTGCCTATATCTAAAATGTCCTGAACCTGCTCTGCCACTTACCCCCGCCCCCCTCACTCCATCCTTCTTCCTTCCCCTGCCCCCTCCATATTTGCAAATGTGGGAAATAATCATGCACCATCTTGAAAAGTTGAACCACATTAATTTCTTTTCTAAATATATACCCTAAGAATTCTTGTACCTGTTCTCCAAAAATATATTCCTTTGGGGTTCTGAGGTGTTTTTGTTTTGTTTTGTTTTGTTTGTGGTACTGGGGACTGAACTCAGGGATGCTTTACCACTTAGCTACATCCCCAGCCCTTTTGATTTTTTACTTTGAGACAGATTCTCACTAAGTAGGACTGGCCTCAAACTTGTGATCTTCCTGCCTCAAAAAGGAAGGGACTACAGGCACATGCTATTCACCCAGTCAAAAACATTCAAAGAAGTTCTTAGCAGCATTGTTCCTGGTATAAAGAACTGAACCCATTCAAAAGTCCATCAACAGAAGACTGCAAACTAACTGGTAAGTGGACACAATTGAATAATACCCAGCAATAAAAATAACTGGATGATAGCTACGAGCCTCAACATGGAAGAATTGGATCTGGGAAGTGATGTTGAGGAGAAAAAAAAAAAAAACAAAGCAAAGTAACAATTTTCAGATGAATACATGCAGTTATGATACCATTTCTACAAACTTCAAAAACAAGCAAAACAAAGAATGTATACATACATATATATCAAATCTATAAAGGAAAGCAGAGATAATTTCCTAGCTAATTTAAGACAAGGATTCTATTAAGGTTGGCACCATAATACCTGCAGGCAGCTACTTACAAGTGCTGGTGCACACATGGAGTAAATGCCTTGGAGAGCTCTCCCAGCCTTTCACTGATCTTGAAGATCAAAAAGCCAGGATGGTGGTACATCTCTGAAATCCCAGTGACTCAGGAGGCTGAGGCAGGAGGATCACAAGTTCAAGGTTGGTCTTAGCAACTTAGTAAGACCTTCTCTCAAAATTAAAAATAATAAAAGGGCTGAGTATATAGCTCAGTGGTAAAGCACCCCTAGGTTCAATCCCCAGTGCAAGAAGAAGGAAAGGAAGGAAGGAAGGAGAAAGAAAGGAAGGAAGCCCCTCCCAGATCCAGTTTCAGTAAACAATACTGGGCATTACTGGATTAACAAAGTCTGTCATCTCCGGGCAACCGAATTGCAGCACCTTGCCAGTACTAGTAGCATTTTAATCTATAAATTGGGACTGTATTTCAACACAACTTCATAGTGAAGAACTCTTTAATCAGATGTTAGAGAACCCCTTCCCAAGGGAACCCACCCCCCATCCCCCCACCATGCACCATAGATGTGTCTCCTTCTTCATTGCTTTGTGACTTCACTTTAGAACCAAGATGAACGGAGTGTTTGGGCAATCTTTTGCTTTCCTTTATTTCTTTCACAATTTTTATTAAAATACCCTTTGTTGGAGGGTGAGAATAACTTGGAAATTCAAAGTAGAAGCATGTAGCACCCTGAGTACCATTCACTCTACCCCATAGTTACTATGCCCCTACTATGCATAGGAGGCTATTCCAGGAACTGTAGAGAGCTTAAAGACAAAATGAAATTGCCCTGTTTTCTCAAGAAGTTCATCACCCAGTGGAAATATCAGAAGTATAACAAATAACAATGGTACAAGACACACATGACCAAAACCATTCATGAAAGGGTTAGGAGCTTGGCTTATTGCCATTTGTAATCTTGGGCACATACCTAACTTTTCTGGGCCTCACTTTTCTCATGTGAAAAATGGACTAAAAGCAATATTTGTACCATACCATTAATAAGAATAAATGAAACACTTATAAACAGTAGTCTGTGGGACCTGGTAGATCATAGGCTCTTACTAAGTGAACCATTTTTGTGAATACAAGGTATTATGGGAATATACTAAAGGGATCAATTCAGTATATCCTGTACCTTAAGGACAAATAAGTTTTACAAAACTGCAGACAGGTAAAGGCAATAATTTGAAGACAGCACAGAGGTGAGTTAAGAGTAGTCCAATTGCCAGGTACAATGGCACACACCTGTAGTCCAAGCTACTTGGGAGGCAAGACAATCACTTCAGCTCAAGACCAGCCTGGTCAACAGACTGAGAAACTGTCTCTCAGAGGGTGGAAGGGTGGGGAGTGGATTCCAAAGCTCTTGAAAATTATTTGCCTTTTTGCTGCAATAGCAGTAAATAATCAGGGAGGATGTGCTTAGGAATTCAAGTCTGACTCCATAGATAAGGCATTAACTCCTGGATCAGCCAGAGAGCTCAGCCACTGGTCTCTTCTGATTAAGGTTGAGAATTCTCTTTTCCCAATGTCATCTTTTCCCTTTGACTCTTTATCCCTTGTTTTTTAAATCAGAGCAGTCTCTAGGGCTCCATGTTCCTAGGCACATGATAGTAACCAGGCTCCAA